TATGAATAAAACATTCTTTTTATACAGTTATCAATTGTTTCATATTTATTTTTTATGAATTGGTAAAGGAAAAGTATTAATTTAGTTTTAATTGTATTATTTAGAAGGTTGCAAATATAAAATTATTCTTGTCAATGAACAATCTATTAAATAAATACTACTTAATAGTTCTACAGTGTAACCCGGATATAAGAGAGTTGTCGGGACCGGAGAAGAAGTCTCTTATATCAGGGTTTCTCTTATATCCGGGTTTGGTCTATTATATATACATTAACACAGGTTCTAATTTGGGACCAGAGAAAATCTCTCTTATATCCGGGTTTCTCTTATATCCGGGTTTGGTCTATTTTATATACATTAACGCAGGCTTTAATTTGGGACCAGAGAAAATCTCTCTTATATCCGGGTTTCTCTTATATCCGGGTCACACTGTATTATAAATTTTCAAAAATAAAAATGCATAAATTCTCTTTCATAATAAGTTTAGGTTTTATTACAATTCTAATTATCGATTTTTAGAATAATAGATATTGCTGAGGAGTGAAGGTAGTTAAAATAATAGCGGTATCAACAGAAAAACCGTCCTTTTGACATTTTTTTTTTTTTTTGGCGTGCACAAAGTTTGCCAGAATATTTTTTTAAAAAGAGAAACATACAGAAGAAAGTGATAAAGAAAAAATGACAAAAAGAATTTTTAAAGGAAAAAAAGGTAAAGAAGAAATTTGAAAAAGAAAAAAAAAAAACTCAGAGAAAACAAAGTAAAGCAGACATTGACGTCCAAAATCAGTAAGAGAATTAAGAAAAATTCAAAGATGAGCGACAGACCAACAAAACTCTTTTTAACACTAAAGACTAACTGAAGGCAAGGATTATGCCAGCATTCACCAACTCAAAGAAGGAGACCGTCCAGAAGAGATGCAGGAGTTTCCCAAGTGACTGGAGGCCATGGTTGAAGCCGATGCCGATTTTATTGACTAAACTTACTCTTTCGTATTTCAAGATATTTTTGTGTAATTTTGGTGAATATAGTATTAAAATGAGATGTCATTACTTAGAATTTTCTTTCATTTAAACAAAATTTTATCAAAAAACTTATATATATATATATATATATGTATATATATAATTATATTATGTAATATATATACGTATATATATGTATATATATATATATATATATATATAGATATATATATATATATATATATATATATATATATATATATATATATATATGTATATGTATATATATATATATATATATATATATATATATATATATATGTATATATATATATATATGTATATATATATATATATATATATATGTTTATATATATATATATATATACCTATATATATATATATATATATATATATATATATATATATATATATATATATGTATGTATATATATATATATGTATTTTTATATATATATATATATATATATATATGACGTCATATATATATATATATTTATATATATATATATACGCTGTATGTATGATATATTTATATAAATATAGCATAATTTAAAAGAAACATAGTGTGTGTATATGTGTGTATGTGTGTGTATATGTGTAAGTAATAAATATTTATATGCGTTTTTTAAGAGATACTCTTGTATGTAAATATAAAAGTTATATGAATGTGTAAGTGACGAACATAGTCTGTTTATTTGTGTATGTTTTTCATATGTGTTATTTTATTTATTTATATATATACGGGGTTAGTGGTGCATTGTGGGTATTCTATTCAAACGGGAACAGTTTTAATTTGGGATTGGTTTGTCTATTTACTTGGATGAATTTAGGTCAATTTATTTGTATATTTTCTTTTCGGTTTTTCGGTTTTACAGCAATAGTATTTATTTATTTTTTTTTTTATTTTATTTTATTTTTTTATTAGTGTATTTGTTTTATTTTTTATTTTTTCCGTTTTTTTTTTTTTAGGTTACGTAAAAAATAATAGTTAGAATGAACTAAAACAACCAACCCCAAAATTGAACAAATATCTTGAATTAAATTCTCAAACCAAAACAAAAAACTGTTAAATACGTGATATAAACAAATTTTTACCACGTTAAGAAATAAATATATAAAATAAGAAAAAAAAAATAAAAACGAGCAATATAATTTACCCAAATAAATAAACAAAGCGACTTCCGGCAAAAAAATAAACGCCATAATAGAATACCCACAATGCCATTAACCCGTATATATAAATAGCCGAGAAAAATAACAGCATATGTGGCCTGACGATTGCATATAGCATGAAACAGACTGTCGCCTTTGACTTGTATGTTTACTTTATATATATATATATATATATATATATATATATAAAGTGAAATTAAATCAACAAATATTTAATATATTTTTTTGTTTATACGTTATTTTATTAGATACAATTTATTTAAGTAAATCTCTGTTTTATTATTAATACACCCAGCCCGGTAATGTAATTAATACAGTTTATTTAAAAAGCAGAGCATTTACTTAAATAAATTGTATCTAATAAATGTAAAGTAGGAACAGGAAATATATAAAAATATATATATATATATATATATATATATATATATATATATATATATATATATATATATATGAAATTTTTCAGAGTTAACCTGTAGAAAAGACAATATTTATAAATATAAATAGCACTAGGAAAACTGTAGTTATTGCTAATAACATAATCCGAAATAATAAATTACATGAAAACAGATGCATAATACTACCGACCAACTCTGTCACGTCCACTATCCAGAATAACCTATCTCATCTAAATAATCTTAGAAAAGTCACAAACACTTCCCAAAACCATTATGGATATACTAAGATCTTCAAACACTAATAGCAATAATATTTCTGAAGCAGGCATTTATAAAATAAATTGCCAAAACTGTTCCTCCACAATATATTGGAGAAACAAGTAGAAATAAAAAACGCATTTATGAGCACAAAAAAACTATTACCTAGTCATTCATAGAAATAAATTCAATCACAATTTTGATTTTAAAAATGCCCCACTCATAAAAAAATGAAAATAACTCACTCAGAAGGAAAATCCTAGAGAGTGCCATTGAATATTACCCAAATATTAATCTATGCCCAGGCTTTTTCCCTATTTCACCTTTCTTAACAAAATTACTACTCTCCCAAAAAATATACACAACAATATCGTAAAAATCAAAAGAAAATGTTTGAATCCGTCAACACAGCAATAATAACAATGTCTCCACACGTGACAGTAATTGAAGTAATTTTCATTTAACAGAATGAAAATAGCGTTCTCTAAATTCTTCCAGTTGATAAGAACATTTTTTTTTTTGTTATTATTAGTTACTTTCTTTAAATAAATTCATTTCGTTTTTTGCCTTGAGAAAGTCCACATTGGACGAAACGCATCAGTACCTAACTACAGTTTTCCTTTATATTTTATATATATATATATATATATATATATATATATATATATATATATATACAAAATTCATGATCATTTTAATATAATATATATATATATATATTAATATGTGTGTGTGTATATGTGTGTATTGTGTTTATATTACAAGGTGCCTCACACGTTTCACATTCAATTCCATTTCAAGTCTTCTTTTCACTGCTCTTTGGACTGTCATAACTTGAAATTCCTCTCTCTTCATCAAAACATCTTATAGATTGAGTTGGATCTTTTTTAATTGATCATTTTAGCTTTAAGTTCAAATGATGATCCCTCTTCCATTAAAACCGTAGATCCATTTTTCCTCTCTACTGTTAGAGATTTTTTAAACTTATTCACCATTCTCTTGATGGTTCTTGAATGGACTTTGAAGATTGAAGCCATAGTATTCATGTTGTACCATTACCGAAGGACTGAATGAAATATTTCCTCTGGCATTGCTTCTTGAAAAAAAAAATATTGGGTCTGACACAAAACGATTTCAAACTGTTTTCTTTCTGGCCGAATAACTGAAAGGGTTTTCAGTGATTCTTACGACTAATAATTGTCAAAATGGTTAAACGTCTTATCTGAAAACCTGGATAAATAGTGATTTTTTTTAGATATTAAACATTTTGTCGGATGAACAATTATTCCATGTGTTGTGATTTGGACAATTAAATATTACACCTTTTATACGATTAATTATTTAATGAAAATAATAAAATTTTCTTTTATATCAAAATATTTGCCACAAATAAATATAAACTTTAAAACAACTCTCTAGTTACTTTCAGTTGTTACTTTTTTTTTAGTTGATCGCTGTGCGTTTTGCATATCATTTCTTTGACTGTAAAACTTCTTACGAAAGAAATGGCAAAATTAAACGCCCCAAATTGAATTATTGAATTGACTCAAGTACAGTGAGAGTTTTTTGAGCAGTTTTTTTACGCAAATTTTCAGTCGTATCGGAATTTTTTGTGAGGTTAAATCTGGCTTAAATAATGGAAAATACGCCAGCGAATAGAATTCCTCACTGAATTTATTGAAGCTATGGGTGACAAAAACTATTTTCAAAAATATGTCTAAGGATACCTCGTCCAGTTCATTTTTATTTGTTTATTGTTCAGTTATTGTCAACTAATTTTTAAACCGCCCGGACCAGGGATTGAATTCACAATTTTTGAAGTTCAAATTCTTACAAAATATATAAATAATCCTATTTAAATTCAATAAAAAATTATCAAATGAGTTTTCGAAAATAAACATTTTCTTAGTAGTGAACATTTTTTTGCAAGATTCCAAGAAAATAAATAAAGATTGCCAGGAGGAATAAGTTAACGCGTAGATTGGAAAAATTTACATTGGAATATCTTATATATTTAGATTGGAATAAGAGGGTTAGATTAGAATAAAGAGGTTAGATTAGAATAAGAGAGGTGCTAGTTGGAATAAGAGAGTTGATAAAATTGGAATAAAGAGAAAATTAGGTTGGAATAAGAGGGTTAGATTGGAATAATGGGTTAGGTTGGAATAAGAGAGGTTATTTGAATTATAGAAAGTTAAATTGGAATAAGTAACAGTTGGAATAAGAGAGGGGGAAAATTGGAATAAGAGACAAGTTACGTTGGAAAAAGAGAGTTAGATTGGAATAAGCTTGGGACAATAGAGTTGAATAAAAAGGGTTAGGTTGGAATAAAAGGGGAAAAATTGGAATAAGAGAGGGGAAAGTGGAATAGAGAAGGGTTAATTGGAATCTTCCTTTGGGGACCATATGGAATAATAGACGGTTACGTTGGAATAAAGAGAGGTTAGATTTGAATGTGAGAGGGTTGTGTTGGAATGAGTGTGGGTGTGATTGGAATAAGAGAGTGTTGTGTTGGAATAGTAGGGTTAGATTGGAATAAGAGGCGGTAGTGTGGAATAAGAGTGGGTTAGATTGGAATAAGAGAGGGTGTCTATTGGAATAAGAGATGGGTAGTTTGGAATAAGAGATGGTTAGGAATGAATTTTTTAAGTTCGGTCGGCATCTTTTTTCAGGTTCAGATTGGAATGAGAGAGGGCAGATTGGAATAAGAAAGGTTTAGATTGGAATAAGAGATCAGGTAGAGTGGAATAAGAGAGTTTTAGGTAGGAATAAGAGAGGTTAGGTTGGAATAAGTGCGAGGCTCTTTGGAATGGGTGTCTGTAAGTTGGAATAAGAGTTGTATGACTTTTTTTCAATATGGTTTGTTTTGTTTTTCATTTGTTTTGGGGTCTATAAATTATCATAGACCTGTGTTTATAGTTGGTACGTCAATGTTTAGTTAAATGAGATTCGATTTTTGACAGATGATACACTTCAAATTCCAGGCATGATTTTCGATGAATATTGATTTAATGTCTACTATGTTTTTGAATTCAAAGTTTGCCGATCGGAAGAAGATGATCAAAACGTGGACAACAACACACATTAAACAGTACCACATAGTGACGCAATAAACATTTCAATTAAAAATGAATCTCAACCGGCCATTCGTTCAAATAAAGCATTTTCATTTTTTCTTTCAACTGAAGATAATTTCAAGGAAGTTCTTGTTAAAGAATGAACTTTTAAGTGACCAAAAGTCTCGAAGGAAGCTATCAAGATTAGATTAATCCGATTTTCGTTTCGTATTATTCCAATTTACACATTTAGAAAAAGAAAAAAGACCTTCAGAGAGGAAATAGAAAGATGGAATATCAGAAAGAAAAGAAAAAAAACAAAAAGAAAAGGAAGAGGAAAAATAAGCAAAGAATAAAAGAGATAAAAAATTAAAAAGATGATGGCGGGTGTTGTGGTGAGCCTAACGAGAAAAAGAGAGAAAAATTGGAAGAACAAAATTTCGGTTAAACCCCAAATATATGTCCGAGTTCAGAAGACTATATTTTATTGAGTCGAAAATCAAACAAGAAATAATATCAAAACTACGCCCGAAAAAACTCTTTATCTATGAACTTAGCCAAAAAAATAAACTCAATTCTTAGACGTTCCGATAGAATTCAGTAATAATACATCCCCATTTCATTATACAAAAACCTAATTTGAATGTGATAATATTAGAATAATATAGACATAATATGTTTAGATTATTCAACCAATAATATCTGAATCGAGATATGCTACCAATATATATATTAATTATCTATAGCAAAAAAATTTAAAACAGCCAAGCTTATCCTCAATAATAACAAACACACGCAAAATCAAAACTAAAAAGAACCAACATTATTTATGAGTTCAAATGCCCTTAGAAACTGTGTTCTGACCAAACCAAACTTATAAATAATTACATTGGTCACACTACTACATGTCTATCTAGACGACTTAAATTACATCTACCCTGATCAAAGCTCAATTAAATTCATTTAAACACACACACACAAAACCTACGAAACTCCATCCGAAAATAGTAGAAAATACGTATAGAATACAATCATCCACATGTAAAAAATTTTTTTTAAAATAATGGTAGCACTAATATTAAAAAAGAAAAGGCCAAATCAAATTAGATACAAATACGGCCAAAGTGTGCTGACCGTTTTTGGAAAATAAAATATTCCTATAATTTCAGACTCATGCATAAAATCCCACACGTTCATTTAAAAATAAAAAATAAAATCACTATTGATAATGGCTAAAAGAATAGCCGAAAGCGCTCGGATATGCAGAATTTTTGGACAGTTTTTATACGCTTTGTCCAGAAAAGAAAACACTTGTACGAACACAAGAAAAATTAAATAAAAAGCTTATTCGCAGTACCTTGTCAGTCCTCTTTAACGAAACATATATATCTACATTCAAATATATTTCATTGAATAATATCAATATAGTATATCTATTTATTTTTATACTTATCCTTTCCACTTCTCTAATCAATTTCTTAATGTTAAGAAGAATTTTATCAAGGAAGGCGCCGTAGTTTTTTCCTATCCAAGTTCTTTCGAACTCCTCCATGATGATCCGGGAGTAAATTTTAAAAAAAAAACTGTGATAAAATCTGCCTTTTTGTTTGTGATATATATAATGACAA